AAATTTTACATTTCAATTGGCCGGTACAACGCTCTCAATTATAGTCAGGTAGCCCAAAACTCACCATGGTTTGAATAGTACAGACTTATCTATGGGATAAATTCAAAAACTGTCCTCCAACAATCAGTCTACTCTTTTCTAAAATGTACATGAAGATACACAAAACTGACTATACATTAAGCAAGCATTTACAGTTTTCAAAGACTATTCATTATATAGACCACATTTAACCCCAATACAATTAAGAATTAGAAAACAAAGATTGAAAGACAAAAACAACCAAAACGTCCACATCCTGTATTCTTAAAACACTTAAGAAATGTATAACAAATGTTATACTGGAAGTTACAGGCTAAGATAAACTAAGAATAAAATATGGAAAGATGTATTCAAAGCAAGAGCAGAAATCAATGAAACAGAGTAAAAAAAAAAAAAAAACACTAAATGAGAGTAAATAAAGGCAGAATTATTGCTGTGGTGGTTAAATCTTGAAAAACATGACAGGGTAAGTTCTGGGGACAAACTGACCCAAGATAAAAGGAGATCATGCACACACAATGTGAAGTGGGTAGGCTGGTAAAAACAAAGAGGCCTGCGGGGATGGTGGTGCACACCTGTAATCTCAACACTCGGGCTGCTGAAGCAGGGGGATCTGTGTCTGAGGCCAGCCTGGACTACACAGTGAGACCCTGTCTCAAAAAAACAAGACCAGAGAGACACACTATCAATAACTCATGTCAATATATGCACATATTTAGATTTTTAAAACTGGTCAGAAATAACTATAAGCATGTTAACAGATAATGACTGCTTACCAACACTTCACACCTGTGAACAAATGAATCTAGTATGAGTCCCTACCAGCTTCTGTACATGATACCATTTCAACTTTTTTAAAGGAGAACCCCCACAAATCAACATTCATGGCCTAACGAATTTTCATAAGGCAAAACACCTAACCACCCACCCAGTTCAAGCAAAAGAACTTTCAGCCAATACCCCTAGATGCCTCTGCTATGTCCTATATCTTAAATCTTTCCTGTCCAAAGGGTTCTGCAGGGTTTATACATCAGTGCGCATTCCTGGGCACTGTGGGTTAAACCTGCTCCCTTTGATTTGTCCTTTACGATTTTTACAAATTCTCAGACTACCTGACCTGTAAAGTGACATAGAGACCTATTCTACCTGTTGCATACTTACGATGCAGCTCTACCAGCATATTCTTTTGACCTCTGTACCTTGCAAGCTGACCATTGGGCTGGAAGCTCGACGACCTAAGATTCAAATCCTTTGACAAGACTAATACAGTGTTTTGTTCTTTCCTTGGGAGGCACCAAATAAATGATTTTTATTCATTCAAAAACAAGACAAAAAAACCTCAAAGCCTATTCCTCAGTTTTCACTTATTAGCTGAATTAACTTTTTTAAAAAGATGCTTCCCAAAGCTGGCCATGGAGGCACACGCCTGTAATCCCAGCACTTGGGAAGTTGAGGCAGGAGTATCACTGTGAGTTCAAGACCAGCTTGGGCTACACAGTGAGTTCCAGGTTAGTCTCAAGTACATAGAGAGACCCTGTC